AAAATTTATCGTTTTCACGACTTTCAAAATGACCTGAATAGTTTTTTATATATAATATACTGCTGCCAGTAGTAGGTACCAGCTACTATCTATATATACTTAAAATATATACTATGATATATATTATATTACATACGATATACCTATGTATAAACAACATTATATGTCTTACGCTGTGCCATTATAATAACGTCCAAGTCAATATTATATTATTATGATGTAGATATATGTAACGATATAATGCGATATGCAAACCACGAAATTCCAATAGCCGTGACCATAAAATGATATCGTCGATTGCAAATCTCATATTATTGTGTAGTACTTACGCCTATACAAACCAAGTACATAAATGTTAAATCGGCAATATTGTATAGGTACATTCTTGGTGGGGTGATTGATTTTAAACGTTGCGTCCGGCCGAGTGCGCTGCCTATAATATATAATCAAGACGTGGTACATAATATATCATTACTTATTATACGCACCTATGTATTATATTTTATACTACATGGGTAGATATTATTATTATGATTGCGATACACCGCCTAGCCAATATTTATAATTATATAAATACAGTGGTTTTCATTTTTAGCCACGAGCCCCGGCTATTGTCTGCGAATATATCTAGTAAATTTAATCTCGGTATTTTTCTTGCAATAATTTTTATACATGCCATTTTCAAATTTTCAACCCCGGGTAAAAAATCTAAAATCAATCCTAAGATTTCTTAGCCTTTTCAAATTACTAGTGGTACATCGAAATCTTAGTTTAGTATTTAGGAAGAGTGTATATATCATTTCTTAGAGCTTTATCCATGTAGGCAGGTATTTGAATACTGAATACTACCTAGTATAATTAGTATATTGTTATCTCCATCTTACAAATGTACAATATAGCGAAAAACTGTTTTGCGCGTAACAACTTTACTCCCTCTGTCTTTATAGCAGAATTTCCAAAATTCCACAACGCATAGGGAAGTACTTTGTCTGTAACGTAGAGTTTTTATTTTTTGAACAACATAAATACAAATATAGTTATCAGTTTGAGATAATTTTAAGATAATTTTGTTATAGATTCTGAGTTAAACGATGAATGTACTGATTTTCCAATGATGTGTTTTTTTTTAAATTTTAATTTAATTTTTTTTTGTGTGTCTGCCATCACCATTTAGAACAGTAAAAATGCTTAGATTTTCTTCAACAGTATCTTTTATGATAGGAAAAAGAAACTAGTTGGTACTTTGGGGGGTCAAAAGTAAAAATGTTCCAGTAGTTTTCAAAAGTCCCGTGAAAAACAAAAGAAAAGTTAAGGAAAAACAGGAATTTGTAGGTACCCAAAATCTGTTATCGATTTTGGTTTTTGGTGCAACTTTTAATCAAATGACCTTAGGTACATGAAATTTTGACTGAATGTTTATATTAGCATTTTCTATACACCATAACATTCCAAATATTGTGACTTATTTTGAGATGTTTACGGAAATTTTCAGTTTCCATTTTTTTTTCTATAAATATTAATACGATTTTATTTGTTGGTTAAAAAAGCTTGAAAATTTAATAGAAGGCTCCTAGAATGTTGCTTCAAAGGCAGATGAAAAATATTAAAAATCGTTAGTCACAATTTGTTTTAATAAGCATCTAAAGTTAAAATATGGACAAAATACGTAAAAATGACGAAAATTTTCAAATTATTTCGAGTTAGGAATTCATAAAAAACTTTCTTTTTAAATCTAAGATTTGAAAGTCTAATACAAGATTCCTCATAGGTTTTTCTACCTTTAACAAAAAAAAAAATGTATACAAGAAACTCAAATTAAATTTTTATGAGCGTTTGAAATTCATATTTTTACAACATTTGATATTCACTCGATTTCTCATGTAACGATTTTCTTATTTTGTTGTAGGTAATTAAAAAACGAATGACAGTAAATACTTGAAAATTTCACTGAATGTTTATATTATTAGCATTTCCTATACACCATACAATTTTGAAAATATTTTGACTCTTTTTGAGCTGTTTACGGACAATTTGTTTAGTTTTTTTTTCTATAAATATTAATAAAATTGTATTTGTTAAGTTAAAAAAAGTAAAAATTTAATGCAAAGCTCCTGATATATTGTTACAATAGCAGTTGAAAAATATTAAAAATACATATTCGCAATTTTTTTTTATAAGCATTTAAAGTTAAAATTTTGACAAAATGTATCACATTTAAATTTTAATAATAATTTTGTAGTTAAAAATTTATAAAATGTTCAACTATTAAAGCTATAAGGATTGAAAATTTAAAACAAGATTCCATGTAAATAGGTTATATATAAATTACTTTATCTACCTTAATATCATCAAATGTACTTCGTAATATCATAGGCTGACTGACCTTATATCGTTTTTCTTATACAATGATATTTTATCATTGAATTCAAATTTAACATCATCCATTACAGTGACTCACTTTTAATTTTTTTTTTTTCATTTAATTATTAAAAATGATTGGTTAGTGTTATCAAAAAAATTAACACTGATAAAGTTCTTCCCTATGCGTTGTAGAATTTTGGTAATTCTCCTATAAATACAGAATGAGTAAATTTGTTACACAAATAAATCGTATTGTAATTATTTAACTCTTAACGTTTAAACACTCTATGTATTTTTATAATTTTATTCTTTGTCTTTTATCTCAACCAATTTCCATAGACATTTTACTTATATGTCTATGTTTACTATTAATATTACTTATTATTATTGTTATTATCATTATCAATGTCATTCATCTTGTTATACATTATCATATAATTGTAATATTATTGTTTATTGTAACAGGGCCTTGCCCGTTTAATACTTAATAAATAAATAAATAAATAAAAACAGTTTTTGGCTATGTTGTATCTACATTTGTAAAACTTAGACCCACATAGGGGTTGCACGTAGTAGCAAGTCCATAGGCGCGAGGGAAAGGGGTGCCGGGGGTGCTTGGGCACCCCCGAACCCTTCACCACAAATGACAAGGGCCCTAATCATTAATTAAGTGTAAATGAAATTATTAAAACTATTGACGAATTCAAAGACGTTGTTCATTTTAAACGTCGATTATCATTATAAGATTGTATATCTACGCCTATATTGTTATGGTAATATTTATTAGAATGAATAATAAAATAAAATACATATTTTTAGTGCATTTGATATCTTTAAATCATTTGTCTTTATCTATAACTATTGTTTTTAAAATTATTGTGGTCCCTAATTTTTAGTATGCACCAACGGAACCAAAAGTCTGCGCACGCCTATGAGCACGTCCTCTTTAATTTCAAAAACTTAAGACATTCCACAATTCTTAAATTATAATTTTCTATACAAAATATATTAAGACTAGTGTTAATCTATTTTTATGCATTTTAAGCATAGGAATATCGAAGAAAGTGTTTACGCTTGGTTAAAAAGCGATTGGTTAGATTTTTTGTATCCAGTTATATTTACATCTGAAAACTTATTACAAGTTTATGTTTGTTATAAGTTTTCAAGACTTCGTTATAAAAATTGAAAATTGAATATATTTTTAACTACAAAATATCTAATTATTCCAATTTTCGTGATCTTAACAAATTATGTCAAAATATAAAATTCATATTGGTTTTTCGGTATACTTTCAAAAAAATCTCATATATTATATTATATCTTTAATATTTTTAAATATCTATAATAATTAATAACAACTTATGAGGAACCTTGTATTAAAATTTATTTATGAAAATATACTAGTTAATAATTAATACCTAGGTACTAAATGCAATATAGTTATTACTTTCAAAACATATTTGTATATTATAATAACAACAGTCCACGTAAAATATAACATTCGGTGTATTTACAGCACCTACTTAAACTAAATTAAATTATTTTTTACTTAACTACTGTTCTCGTAATCTACAGAGCAGGAAGACAGTCCAAACCATTGAAAACTAAAATGTGAATTTGTGATGAGTAAAAATTAAGTATACCTACCTATATATTTTTGTTGTGTCCCCTCCAATATTTCGTCAATACCCGGAATTGTATTATAGACATTTCAAAAAACTTTAAAAAAAACTACATTTTTTTTTTTTAATTTTCGAAACGATTAGTTGAAACGTTTAAGCGTTATAGGAATCGGTTATCAAAAGTAATTTTCATTACATTTTCGCTACTAGAAAACAGTTCCAACGACATTACGTAACACGTTGAAAACAAAAGTAACGCAGTTATCAGGGATGGAAAACGTTTTTAAACAAAAAAAAAATGTTTATTATTTTAGTTATTTACTCTAGAAATTTTAAATAGTTTTTCACTTTACGTCTTTAGTCTTTACCAATGCACTTTTAAATTAAAAAACCTTTTAACTTGAAATTTTGAATTTTCTAATTTTTTTATAAATTATAATTTTGATTTAAAATTTAAATATTAAGAATAATTAATTTTAACTTTTAAGTGCATTAATGTATTATGCATTACTAATTTTATAAAAAAATGATCAGGCTTCAAATCGTTGCAGGTTAGACAACAATAATGTAATAAAATAAAAAAAAACAATATTAATCTCGCACAATTTTATGCGTTTACAGAATGCACCAGTGGTACGGACACCATGTGGAATATATCGGTTATAATAACAATATTGTTGCATCAGATCACAGTCATCGCAGTATAAAATAGGTACGTATAATATTATATCATAATAATTTACGCAATAACCCGTCCGGACATAACATAATATCTAATAATAATATTGACAATGTTCGTAAAACCTAACATGATATAAATAATAATCATAATTCGTTACACAATAATAATATTTTGCGACGAAAACCAATATATTATAATTTTATAATATCACATACGAGCGCGGTTGTCGGTGGCGGCGGCGCGTCGAACGGTCGCGATTGCGGACATAATATACGCGGCGGCCGACAGTCGAGATAGCGAACGTGCCGAAGTCGCCCAAACAGTGTGCGCACGCGATGAATACCGTCCGATCGTGTTTCGCCGCAATCGTCTCGTTTCTAGTTTTCGCGATCGGCTGGTGGGCCGCCGACGCCGTAGTCTGTTGCAACAGCAGTTCAGTCGTGGGCGGAAAAAACGCGTCTTGCCAGAACGGAAATCGGACGTTCCACACGGTCGAGGCGATCGGCGATGGCACGTGCAATGTCAACGGGACGGCTGTGCCGGTCCGGAAGTGCTGTCCGCCGGGCCAGTCGTACAATCCGGAAGTGCGGTTCTGCGGACCGGCCGGGGCTGGCGGCGACGAGTACCTGCGGCGGATGATGAAGCGACTGAGGGACGGATTCCGGGTGGTGGCCGATGCGGTGATGGTGGGTTATGACTATGAGCAGCCAAAGTGCAACGAAAAACAAGTGCTAGTCGACGTGCCCGCTGTGGAGGTACTTGGGCTGATGCAGGCGCACCCGTCGGCCGTCGAGTTGCCACAGGGCTACTGCTTCGACTTGACGCAGTCCAATGAGCTGGTGGCCCGGACGTGCCGGCCACGCGACAAGTACTGCGGCCCTGGCCTTAACACGTGCGTCAACAAGTGTTGCAGGCGCGACAAGATGATAGTCGCCGGCGCCAAGTAAGTCCACAGCGGCCTATGTTTAAGTATAAAATAGTATATTATAATGACTTTAACAAGCGCATCTACAGCTGCAGCTGGTGCCGTGGTTATTTGGCGGGAGTGATGGTGGAGGTTAGGAGTTGTCCTGATTGGCAAATTTTCGAATGTGTGTGTATTTCTTATATTTTTAGTAGGATAGCTGGTATGAGTGATATTTATTACAACTACCTTTTATAATACAATTATTATAGGATTTAGAAAACAGATTTTCAAATTACCTATATCAAACACAACTTATTTCAGGTTTTGATTACCACGGTTTTAAGTTAATTAATTTGTAACAGTGTAGTATTTTTTTTGAGATAGATAGAGGAAAGTGGATATTATCTACAGTTAAAGGTGGCACCAGTCCATACAATTTGCGCTAACAGTCGGTACTGCACATGCATAATGTGTACGATACGTTTTAGAGGGCTGTAATATATAAATATAGGTAGATAAGTAAAATATATTTTTTGTCAATCAAAATGTGCAAACATTTTAAAAAGTTCATCTTTTGCAATTTTTTTTTATATTTTAGTTGTTTTGGTTTCTGATTAAATTAAGATTGGTAGAAACTATAAAGTATAGGTAAACTATAAATGAATAAATAACATGGTCATAAATTGAAAACATTTTTGTGAAATTCTACTGGTATATTGCGAGGGTTACCACTTACTACAATACATTTCTGTAAACATATTATAAAATATACCTGGGGGGATGACTGATTTGAACTTGAATCTTAAACTTGTCCCCAATTATAATATGCATTAATTAATACATCAATTTTATTTTAAATGTTCTTCAGTTTCGAGTTTGTGAGTTTGTGACTATGGTAATCTTAAAAAACAAGTGCCTATTTCAACAACAAAATTCATGTTCAATTTATTTTTTGTAGACGTATTTGGCTGGTTCATTATAAATATTAAATAAATAATACAAGTCAATGCAGTACCAACATCATAACGATTGAAGAAAAACGATGAATTGTTGACTTCTCTTATTTCGTGTACATTTATTATTTTCATATATTATATAGGTAATGATATGTACCTGCAATAGTCCTATAAGATTTGTAAAAAATAGCAGTATAGTTTTCAAAATGATACGTGCCTGGAATGCAGCGTAATAAAACAAAGATGCCCGCCCGTAAACTATTTTACCGGCACAAGCAGTATAATCATACTATAACTACTCTACTATCAACAATATTGACGCTAGAAAATAATAAAACCTACCGTAATATTTTATATACCAAAGTTGTTATAATCATGCAAAACCTTAGTGTTCATGAATTTTGTTCATAACAGCGTACTTAAATTGAACATCTTTCTTATTTAAAATTCTCGTGTCACGTTGTTAGTGGTCGCACTCTTCCATAACGGTTTGACCGATTTATATGAAATTTAGTGCGTGTATTCAGTAGGTCTGAGAATAGGTCGTAAAGTAATTTTCACCCTCCTACCACCCATCCGGGGAGGTGCTCAAACGGGGGTTTAGGGTGGAAATTTTTGTCTATAAATTGTGGCTAATGGTTATATAAGAGAAATAATTAGTAGAAATTAATATATTTTATTTATTATTGGTTGCCATTGGTTATTCTGGCAGTTCAGGTGCAAAATCATGGTGGTAACTCAGATGACCGAGTAACTAAAATAATTATGAAACAGCTCAACCGTTTTATAATTGGTAGGTACGGTAATAGGTCTTAAAGTATTTTTCACCTTCCAAAATTGTTCGCTATTCGACGTAGGTAGTAAGATTGCCTACCAGAGTGGCTGAGTTCATTCAAAAGGAGTTTTGAACAATCGCAATTTTTTTTAAAAGTTCTAATAGTTTTTGGACAACAAAGTGTACGGCTTCAGTTTTTTTTTTAAAATTTAAATGTTAAAAAGTTAAAGGTATTTTAAAAATGTTGAAATTGTTTTTATTTCTAAACGATATAATGAACGTAATATTAGGTATAAAGGAAAAAAAGCAACTACACGCCCTCAGAAATATTGTCGCAATTCAATTTTATAATTATAGGTATTTTTACTATAAAACCAAAACTGAGTTAGTTCTACTCAAACTGCGTAAATGCATTTTGTCTATGTCGTACATGTGTAATACGGAGACAACACATGCGGGTGTGACGTCGTCTTAAGAAATATTATGCAGTAGGTAGTTTAAATAAATATTGTGCATGTTTTTGGCGATTTGACAACATAACATAGGTACAGTCATTCAGACCTGCAATTTTAGCTAACAAGATAAAATAACTGACAATTATTGTTATTCTGTATTCACAGTTCACACAATTATAGTTATAGTTATTAAAATATTAATAATTCTGACTATCCAATTTATATTATTTTAAAATATAATTATTAAATACAATAGATTTTCCTGTATCTAAAACGTTATTTTTATAATTAAGCTTTGTAAGCTAAACATCATGGATTTTAGCCTTTAGGTATGAAATAGGAAATTTAATTCAATAAGTCAAATCTTGAAAAATTATATTTTATTTACACACACCTTCATCTATAAATACTAATAATAACCAGTTTTTTGTAATTGATATGCAAAAATTTAGATTCTAGATAATAACGTTTTATACTTTATCTTTATCTGTATCTAGATAATTGTTTGTGGAATTATCTAGATATTTTTTGTTGTTATCTGAGCTCAACACTGTTAATGTCCGTACTCCGTATGCATAGTTAATTTATGGTCCCATAAATTGACTATGTATACGGACATATTTTGTATCGAATATAATATGGCATAAGCAATGTAAGTACGAATACTGAGACACGGATATTTTTTAAATTTATTTAGTTACCCATGGATAGCTGGATATTAAGGACTAGGCCACTAAGGTATACCAATATGTTACCCTAAAGTACGAAATGGTGTTATTTCATGAACTATCTAGGTACTTTATAGACTAACTAAATAAAGACGATAAATAATATCATATAAATTATAATCTAGATATTTTATACATTATCTGCACAATGACGAAGATGCAATATAAAGACGCAATATTGTGTTAAAAATATTTTATATTTTTTAAATAGTCTAGTGCAAACGAAATTATGATATTATAGTAATATTACAGCTTTTTGATTTTATTCATAACACAATAACACTATGAATAGTAGTTGTTATTTTGAATGCGATATTATCCGATTGTGTTTGTAAAATTATTGAACCCATATCAAACCTATTTTCTTGATCGTAATAATAATAGAGCTCGGACTACTTTTACCACCATTGTTTGTATATTCTATAAGATCTACTTTATAACTATTGTAAAAGACAGAACTATAATGATTATTCCGCATTCGATATAAACTTACTATTTTAAATTTCTCTATACGTATCCTAGGGTTAACCAACGCGAATAAGAAAAAGTCTAAAATCCACAGGGAATAATATTGTTCAAGATAATTTGATAAAAGTTTTTTATACTAATTTTACTGTTGGTTGGTAAATTTAGTATAATATCCAGTAGGTACCTATTTAGTATCTACTAATTGCATCTTATGCATAGAAATATAAATTATCAGCAAACATTTCCTTGAATATGCTCCTAAGTCCCACGCATAGGGAAAATAAAAGTTTTATCATGATTCATGAGCTTGTGATACAAGATAATATATTATATTTATTTTGTCTAGTTACCTAAACATATTAATTTGACGTATTGAATATACCTACAACAAATAAATCATCTCACAATACCTATAATACAAACAGACAAACTTATACTTTATTATGTTTTATCATGATATTGTTATACTTATACCTATAGCTATGTATTAATTCAAAATACTTACAAGTTACAAGTGACTTTTTCACCAAAATATCGGATTCAATGTTCCTCCTGTTTCACCTTTCGGCACGAAAAAAACCAACATTATAATCCTGTTTTCGAAAAAAAGAAAGCTGAAAATTAGCTTTTATTTTAAATTTATTTATCACATGTTGATATTAAATAATTTTACAATTATTGCGAAAACTGTCATAACATATTATATACCTAATATTTAAAATGCAATATTAAAATTAAGCAATAAATTATAATGTTTATTACGTTCATTTATGAGAGTAATCTCGCCCCACTCATGGGTTTGGTTTTAACGATAACTTTTTTAATTTATTAATTCATTTATAAAAATGAATAAATAAGAATAATATATAATACTTTAGTTTCTACAAAAATAACACTCATATGAAGTTACCAGGTTGTACCCCAATCTTTACTTATTTTTAACGAGTGTTTGTAGTTTTAAAATTTACGAAAGTCGTAAAAATCGTGAATTATTTTGTATTTAAAGATTCATAATATTTCATTTTAATACCCGTGATTTGAAAATTTAAAACAAGATAAATCATAAGTTTTTCTTTCTGGAATTACAAAACAAAATTTGACGTAGGTAAAGGCACATTCATTTTTTATGAGTGTTTGAAGTACAAATTATAATAATTGATATTCACACTTGAAATAACGATTTGTCTACAAACATTCTACTTTTAGTTAAATTATTATTTTCTATACACGATAACATTTTCAAAATATTTGAATTCAGTTACCAATGAATCATAGTATACGATGAAAAATGATTCTAAGTGGAGACGGAAGTCTGTCTGCCTATTATGTATGTTGCTAAGTAAATTTTGTTACATGCATTATTATTTCGTTGCTATGAGCAACTTTTTCTGTGAGTTGGCAATACGGTAATTTAATCAATTTAAAAAAAAAAAAAACAAATTTTATGTTATTTATGTAATAATTATTAATTATTAAAAATATTACTATACGTAGTATAGTATATATTATTAACATACAAGTCAATACCAACGTAGATATATACCGTAGAACGGTGTGAATTGGTTCATGGTGTAAATTGCTAAAAATTGCATTGTGTATAGGAAATAATAATATAGGTATATGGTGAAAAGTATCAAATCCTTACGAATTATATTTTTAAATTAGAATAAAATAACTAAAATCGTTTTTTTAAATATCAAATAATTTCGTACAAAATTGAACTAAAAATATCTTTAAAAATATTGTTGCGTAATATGTATTTTTGATATTTTAAGGTAATTGTAAGAATACAACTAATGAGAAACTATTTATTTTCAGTTATAACAAAATGTTTTTTAAAAAAATTAAAAATGATAAATTTGTATTCACAAAATAGTTTTGCAAATTGCTTAATACATTTTAAGATTATAATGCAGGGGATTGAGAGAGATTAATATCCCTCCATGGGTCTATTTTATACCTTCACATGGCTGGACGTTCATCCACGCTTAAAGTTTAAACCAGGCTTGCAAACGCAAACGTTATAATTACGTTATTATTATAATGTTATATTTGAAAAAAAAATGATTGGAATTTATAAACGTAATTATAACGGAAAGCGACAATCAAAAATATTAAAATACCGCAAAATTAAAACATAACGATTAAAAAAATATATTTTATATCATTAAACAAAAATAACGCAAAACGAAATATTTTAAAATCTATTTATTTTAAAGGTCTATTGGTTTCGTAAAAACATTTATTTCATGCAAACAATCTAATAATTGATTATATTATATACCGTATCCTGACCATTACCTAACCGCATTAGTTATTATTTTTAACACTATTTTACATACCTAACAATAAACGCAAACTAGGATAACGTTTTAATTCTGTTTAAACGATAAACTCAAAACTTGGAAAACGTTTTAATTTTAAATAACAATAAACGCAAAAATTGGGTTACGTTTTAATAGTAAATAACATAAAACGGAATTTTTTTTCAAATGCAATACCTGGTTGACACACGTAAATAAGAAATACAACTGGGTAGTTAAGGTTAACTTTTAAATGGAATATAAATTATTCTATGCCAACCCCCCCTCCCCAAAAAAAAACAAATTCCTGCGCTCACTGCTGGTCAACACACGACCTATTTATTTTCTCTCTGCAGAACCACGCACACCACTGAAAATTTGCATTCCGCAGAACTAATCTTATGTAGTTAGATTTAATGTTAGATTGAATTGACATTTTGTTAAACATAAAGTTACGACAATTATCTGTGAGTGGGTGCCGGGTGGGTCAGTGAGATAGAAAACAAAATATAGCGCCATGAGATTCTTTTAATAAATATTCTTCATTACTGGTTATATTTATTCTTTTGACTTTAGCTAGCTCTATTTCAGTATTCTCTTTTAATAATTGTAGTTTTAATTTTTTCCGTAGTCCGGTATTTAGGTTGGACTGGTGGTACCTTTACACCCACTATTGATAGAGGCCTAAGTAATAATGAAAATATATCAATTAAATCTTGTAAAAAGAAAAAACTTAAATTATTATTATAAATACCATTATAATTAAACTCTACTTTTTACCGGAACATTAACTCCTCCTAATTACACTAACAATAATAATATTATATCATGCAGTGGTCAGAAGTGCAAGCAGAGCGAGAAGCCGTTCACGATGCCTTCCTATGAAACAAACGCGGACGGTCCTCCGGTGGAAGAGTCGAACAGCACGGTGATGCCATACTATTTAAATCTCGAGTGTTCCGAAAGGGAAAGGGTGGAAGACGGGTTCATGTTGACCACGGATGGCAGACTTTACCTTAACGACGACGGCGAAAGCTTACCGGAAACCAAGTACTGCGTGGAGTATTACGCCGTGGCCGGGCCACAGGTGGCCGTCGACCTGAAGGCGTTCGTGTGCTCCTCGGACAATCCACTGATCACGGCAGAGGACATAAGTGGCAGCTGGAAGTACTTCGTCTTTCTGGCCGGTTTCGTACCTTCTATCGTGTGTCTGGCGCTCACGCTGATCGTGTACGCCATACTGCCCACCCTCCGGAACGTCCACGGCTACTACGTCATGTGCTACGTAGCCTGCCTACTCGTGTCGTTCATCTCCCTCGTGATCCTCCAGTGGGCACAGGAAGTGATGAGCAGCCATTTGTGCATTCTATCCGGTATGTCTTACCTACATTGTTATCGTTATTTGATTAATTCCTACCACATATTTCACACCACATGTCCACATAATATAGCAATATATCTAAGACTCTAAAGACATCAGCTGAATAATATGTAATAAATTGTTTTGGGACAAAATATCCAAGGACAAAATACGTTGTACCAATACATCCAATTCAAAGTATTTATTGTATAACAAATCCAGGGTTAAAAAACCAACAAATAGAATAAAAAATCCCCAAAAAAATATTAAATAATGTTATTTAAAAAAAGATTAATAAATAAATCTATAATATAAAACTATCGCCCTATATAGTATCTATCATTACGACTTCTTTAAAATTACTAATTTCAAACTATTTCTTCTCTTTTTAATAGTACCATATAATATAGGTATCATACTGAAATATTGATTTTGTAAATTTATAGAATTTACCACTTGCTTTTAATTTTGAAACTCGAAAAAATTGACTTTGCTTATTCTCTTATTCCTGACTAAACTCATTTTTAATTAGTAGATCGCAGTTTGTTAAATAAAACAGTTTTATTTCTGATCGTATTTCTGTCATGTCAGGTGTCTCCCAAAGTGACCACCTCTCACATTTTACCTTTAATTTATTTATTAATGATATTGTTTTAACTTTAAATATTTCTCATATTTTTCTCTTTGCTGATGATGCAACACTTTCGCAATACTCTTGCAAAATAATTTGGATAATCATAATACTAACAATTGGCGTAATTCTAATGGATAGGCTATTAACTTAAGTAAATGTCACTCTATTAATTTTTTTTGAAAAACATACCCTCATCTAACTATCAATTATAACTTGTAGGTTATCTATAATCATTAATCGCTTATTCGATCAAACAACTAAAAAATACTTTATTGGTGTAATTTTTGATTAAAAACTATTATTTAACTTACATGTGTTGAAGTTAGAAATAATCACTATATGTTTTTGACATGATTAAAAGAAGCAGTTATAATTTAAATATTCCTAGTAACTAGTAAGTACTTATAAATACATTTTTTTTTTCATTATTCATCCTCATTTTTAGTGTCTGTCTTATAGGAAATATAATAATAATGACAATTTATTTCTATAATGTTAAACAATTACCTACAAATCGTACCAATTCTATTTTCATTTTAATATCATTTGGTATATATTTTTTTCTTTTTTCTTATCATCTTAACTATCAATTGTCATAATTTTAGTACCAACTTTTATTACCTATCTAAAATGTATTATTATATTACTATATTATTTTAAGGTTATATCTTATGCAATGTTTTTATAACTTATAATTATTATCATTAATTTATTGTAAACTGGGCTAACGCCTATTATTAATATTAAATAAATAATTATATCGTTATTTTTATAAATTATAAGTTTATGAATGATTGTGAAAAATAAATTATATAATATAGGTGTATTCAAACTAAAAATATACTTGACTAATATTTAATTTTTTTTTTGATTGAATGCCAAGTGTCAATAATAAATTATAAATTTTAATATGTAGAAGGAATAGATTTGTTTATGAAATATTAATATTATATTATAAACATTTGACAGTCATTCAGATAATCAAATAATAATTATTATTATAATTTTTATTAACGGGCATTTTCTGTATTTTTTTTTTTTAGATTTTGTTAAATCTGTTGGCATTTTTAACCTTGGAGTTTTATCAATTTAATTTATTAGTACCTATGGTATAATATTATGTTCATTCAGATTTATTAAAAATTACTGGTTTTTTCGGACTTCAGTACAATAAAATGAATAATTCCAAATCCCTAAAAAAGTAACATTTTTGGCACAATCTGAAGGCAAATTTAATTATTGTTTTAAGCCAAAATTATACAACATAACTCATCGAATACCTTAAAAACCAACCAATAGCACCTCTCTAATGGATTTATTTACGCAGCTGGTGGAAAATAGTCTTAAAAAATCACCTAAAACATAAAAATTAGTTTACTGAATTCCTATTACGTATTTTTATATTGGAAAGTATTGTCTGAGACTAAAAATTCATCAGCATCCGTAATAATAATTATATGTTCACCGTCACTGTCCCCGTTTTACAGTTATTATAAATTATAATACCTGTCGGTCGTCGCGTGCAATTACGTATTAAAATGTTACGATGTGCCAGAATATCTCAATGGGGTTGAAAGCACTCCTTTTATTAGAAGTATTGGATTGGCAATTATTTTAATGTTTACTTGGGGTTGACACGTCAACATATTCCGGTTATTATAGGTATAGGTATCCTTGACTAAATGTAATCTAGCATTTTTCTTTTTTAGCTGAATTTTATTTTTAATTATATATACTATACTTGTTTATAGGTTGCAATAACATTGTATGTAAATAATTTTCATCAAAAAACACATTTTATATTATATTATATCGTAGGTAATCAACTAATTGGTTTTACATTTTCCAAAAAAAAATTAAACTTTTAGTATAATATTATGCATGGTATGCAAAAAAAATTATTGATAAGTATTAAAATACATTTTTTAATTAATTATTTTAAGATGTACAAAACAGTAAAATAGCCGCTTTCAAGTATAATCCCAAATTATTTTCAATTTATTAAATTTATTTGTCTTTATTAGTTATATCATAACTTGTTACAAATTCGTTTAATAGCTCATCAAAATTTTTATATTTTTGCCTTATTTTTGAGTTTCTTCAGATGTTTTTTTTGGTCAATTTTAGCTTCCTGTAGACATCGTCTGAATAAATTCTAAAATGTTTGAAGTTCTAAATAGCTTTAAAATAAATAAATGAAGTAAAAACGGTCATATTACATTAAACAAATACATGACATTTATTTATTTATTAGGTTTGTGTGATAGCATTATCAAAATAATAAAAAACATAAATACATAATCACTTTACATGAATTGTGAATATTCTGATCGAAACTTTAATAATTGATTAAAATTTTAATTTTTAAACTAATATTTATGTGGAATATTTTAGGTTTTGAATAGTTTTTTGGAGATATTATGACTGGAATATTTTGTCGTAGACTTCAATTATTTATTCACATAAATCATTTTACAGTATCCAACAAAATCCGGCTAAGTAACAGGTTAATTGAAAAACTGTCAATAAATTACTGCTCTTCCAAGGCTCATATTCCAAAAAAAAAACAATTTTTTAGGCATTTTGGAACAACTATCTGAGTATTTAAATTAATGACGATCTTTCAAAACAAATTATGTGCCATTATATAATATTGCAAATAATTATTTTGAGGGTTATAAAATATTATATATATTAATGTAAAAATATAAATATATATTGTATAAAATGTGTAGTAAAAATGTTGACTTAAGCAAAACAAAATTTAATTTTCTTGTCCTAACTTAATTTACGAATATAATACCTATGAGATTCATGTACCTATTCATACCAAGATGTATTTTTATGTGGTCCAAAATCCCGATCTGAACGTCCTGTGACACCCAAAACTACAATAAATATCTCTAGTCTTGAAAAATGTAACATTTATTGAAATCATTCAAGTTGTTTCTGAGATTAGACGATAGTCACTTGAGTTTGTTTTGTTCGTTTGCACGAAATTACTACAGCCGTACATTTTCTGGTAGGTGGCGCATACCTATAGATGTTTTTCACATCAATAAAATTATTCTTAAATTTCTTTTGCTTTCTATCCCTCTATAATCAGTATTGGCCGGCGATTCCGAAGGGTATTTCAGATTCAGTCCACCTAAAATAAACGTCGGTGAGTGGACTAGTGGATTCCCCTGGGTTTGACTATAATATATCAAAATAGTTGGAACTTAATAAATTATAGTTAAAATGCGTCAACGGAAAAAAAATGTACCGGGAAATGTTTGAAGTTCCAAATTAAGTTAACTAAGTTCCAATTAGATCCAAATAAGTTCCAAAATATTGGTGAAGGCTTGAAGTCAAAATGGCAATGTGAGGAGGGGGCAACTTCATGAAACTAATTGTCTATGCATCTAAAAACTAAACAATAATAAATAGAAATATTGCCGTCATTATTTGTCTTATCTTACACATTTTGTCTTTATGCATGTTTTGGCTTCCATATTATAATAAATAATATTAAGTATTAATTGTTATTTAATTTGTTTGTGTATTTTGAATTAATTTAAAGTATAATTTTAGGTTATTTTACATTATTTGCATTTCTGACATCATTTTGCTGGTTAAACGTAATATGCTTCGATATTTACTGGATGTTAAGGTATGTAAATTATATTCTTACATAATATGGTAAAAAATTTTTTTAAATAATAATGTGTTTATTTATGTGGTGTTATAAACTTCCAAGGTACAAATAAGTAGGAAGGTAATTATAATTAAACTTATAAGTAATAACTTATATAACTTGTAATTTTCTATTAAAATTGTATGGATACGGGATAATACTTACAAATCGTTTGATACCACTATAATTCTTTAAGTTTGAGAGTGTAGAGTGGTAACATAAAATATGGTACCACTTATTGCATATTTGTGGGTTACATAATATTATTGTTATAGTGTACAACTTTTCCTAAAATAAATGTAATATTTATTATACCTTGGACTCTTTTTACTGTCATAACCAGTGTCAGTTTTATGGTTGACGTGGAGGACGATGGGTGGCCTCCCTCCCTGGCATGTGCAAATGTGTAAATTTGAAGTAAATCTAATATTCATCAAAACGTCAAACATTGATAAGCTATAAATAAAAATTATTTCATACCATACCTATAGATTTAAAGTATATAATAAAAACTAATATAAGTATATAATTACTGATCATGGTCCTACTATCAACAGTAAAAAAAAAATTAAGATATGTATAGATAAATGCAAAATACTTTCGCTCCTCCCCCTGGACTTGTCAAGAACCGCCCCTGGTCGTATATTCAAATAAGTACGTAATCGTTTGGAATAAATAATAATCGGAAAAGGTATATAAATAGCAATTATTATATTATAGTCGTGTGAGAAATTCCTACACTTCAGTAATGTAACAACAAAAGAAACAAGTCATGAATAATATTATAATTGAATAGGTACATATTATTATCTAGTATGGAGTTTATTAATATATGTTATTAAATATTATAGTTAATTATGAGTATAGCATATTTATTATATTACCTACCTATTTCTATTTGGTGGTATTATTCAATTAAAGACATCAATAAAATTCCTCAATGAAATCAATAGTAATATTAAAATTTAAATTTTTATATAATGATATATTTATATTAAAATTAAAATCAATAAGTTAAATCAAAATAATAATCGCTTGATAATTTTTACTAAAAAATATATTTAAATTGTAAAAATTAAAAGTAAACAATAGCCAAAAGGTCAACAATTGTTCAACAGTAGGAATTTTCTTTTTCTCAAGACCGTTTAACATTCAAGCATATAATATAAAACGCGCATACGGAAATCCTACACGTATGGCTCGTAGGTAGAAATCAAAATTAAATTTCTTAAAAATGTAATTTTAAATCGAAAAAAAAATAAGTTTTATATTTTATTATTAGATATTATTTAAATAAAAAACAGAAAAGGTTTAATCGATATTGTGCAATAAAACAAAAAATAAAAATATAATAATTTTCATCAAATTATAAAATCAATATATAATTTTTAATTGAAATCAGAAAAAAATAATATCAATAAGCAAAATTAAAATCAAAATATTTTATTTTGATTTCAATATCTGGTTTATATGGTATTATATATGGTCAGTAATACCATATCATATGGTGCTGCTTCTTAAATCTAAAAGTACAAAATATAACAGTTCATGCAACTACATATAATATTTTCAACACATTTTTAATTTAGGTACAACAATTCAATAAACCGAAATAGATCAATATCAGTACGTACCATTATGTACCATGTTTACTGTTGGGGATTTTCAATTATTTGCGTATGTACTGGATATTTATTTCAACATTCACAAAACGAAACGCTACTGAAATTTGCACCCGATATTGGTCACCATAGATGCTGGTTTTTTGGTAAGTTCACACAATTACGAATTTATTCGTATTTTAAAATAAATAAATTTTAACATTTTTTCTCGGATTAAATATTGTAAATTTTAGATCGGTGTAGGTACATGATAATGTCATATGACCACGATATAATGCAATCATTCGTAATAAACTGGGATATTGTATATTTCATTAAAACCATACGATATATTATATCTACAATATAAATGGTTATCGTTTGACACATAATTTTGACCATATTTTATGAACTCGGGTGAACGGGTTTATACAAGTAGGTATTTGCATAATAAACTACCGTACATTGTACTAGCGAATCATCTTAAAATATTTCTTAAGATTGTATTTATACGGTAGGTATATACAGGGTATCCCGTGAGGATTTATACATTTCCATATCTCTTGAGGTAATAAATAATAAAAAGGTGGGCAAGTGGGTGTCGCTCTGCTGTACAGTAGGTTACAAGTGGGTCACTGTATAATGGATGGTATTAAATTTGAATTCAATGATATAATATCATTGTATAAGAAAAACGATTCTGAGCGGTGATGGTATGTCAGTCTATGTATAAGGCATATTATATACATATCTATGGTATTAAACAAAAAATTGACCTATAATAGGTACCTATAATAAATTCCAAATTAATCATATCACAATATCCATTAGATACTTATAACGCGTTATACATCAACAAAAACCGTGATACTATCATAGATATATAATAGTACACTTTAGAAGTTTCAAGTACCCACGAATAGTATTATTCAATCACAACAAAATAACTAAAATCGTAATTCTTGGTTTAAATATGAAATTTTGTCTAAATTTGAAATTAAAATGTCTGTAAAAAATAAGTGTGTTTATATATTTTTTAGATTTTTTGGTTACAGTATGAATTATTTAAGAGAATCTTTGTTTTAAATTTTCAACTCTTAGTTATAAAAACTGAACATTTTATAATTTTTTAATTCCAACGATTGATAATTTTCGAGATTTTGATAAATTTTGTCAAAATTCCAACTTTAAATGCTTATAAAAAAAAATCGTGCCTATGTATTTTTAATATTTTTCAACTGATATTGTAACAATATATCAGGAGCCTTGTATTAAATTTTTACACTTTTTGGCCCAACAGATAAAACTTTATTGATATTTATAGAAAAAAAAAACTAAAAAAAATTGAAAGCTGTAAATGTCCATAAACAGCTCAAAAAGAGTCAAAATATTTTCAAAATTGTATGGTGTATAGAAAATGCTAATTTAAACATTCAGTGAAATTTTCATGTATCTACAGTTATTTGTTTTTGAATTACAACAAACTAAGGAAATCGCTACATGGGAAATCGAGTGAATATTCAATGTTGTAAAAATTTGAATTTCAAACGCTCATAAAAATTTAATTTGACTTTCTTATAGACATTTTTTTTTTTGATAAAGGTAGATAATCTTATAAGGAATCTTGTGTTAAATTTTCAAATCTTAGATTTAAAAAGAAAAATTTTTACGAATTCTTAACTCAAAATAATTTGCTAATTTTCGTGATTTTTCCATATTTTGTCAATTTTTGAACTTTAAGTGCTTATAAAAAAAATTGTGACTAAGGATTTTTAATATTTTTCATCTGCCTTTGAAACAACATATTAGGAGCCTTCTATTAAATTTTCAAGCTTTCGCAACCAACAAATAAAATTTTATTGATATTTCTAGAAAAAAAACTAAAAAAAAATGAAAAATGAAAATGTCCCTAAACAGTTCAAAATAAATCAAAATATTTTGAAAATGTTATCGTGTATAGAAAATGCAAATATAAACAACCAGTGAAAATTTCATGTATATACGTTCATTTGTTTTAGAGTTACACCAATAACCAAAATCGATTTTTTGGAAAACCAATTTTGCGTAAAAATTCCCGTTTTTCCTTAATTTTTGTGTTGTTTTTCCCGGCGCTTGTGAAAACTACTGCGAAATTTATACTTTTGACCCCCCAAAGTACCAACTAGATTCACTTTCAGAAAAGCTACTGATGAAGAAAATCCAAGCACTTTTACTGTCCTAAAACGTGATGACAGACACAAAAATAAAAAAAAAAATAAAAAATAAAAATAAAATAAAAAAAAAAACACACATCATTGTATAATCAATACATTCATCGTTTCACTCAGAATCTAAAATATAAAAATATAAAAACATACATCATTGTAAAACCAATACATTCATCGCTCCGCTCAGAATCTAAAATTCATTAATGTCATGATTTTTAATATTTTTTATAGTTTATAGGTAAAACGGCAAAAATCAGGTTTTTGCCCGGGTGGCGAGTCCCCCTCTAAGGTTGATTGGTACCTATATACTTATGGCATCTCCTATATAATATGTTTATTTATTGCCCAGATTAAAATCACCATAATATGCGTCAAATATAAGTTATAAAAAAATATAAGTACCTAGTTACATTACATAATAATGTGTTTTTAAGAATTTATTTATGAAACGAGTTCTTCTGTTTAAATATTATGCCGATATGTCATACCACATGAATATTATGCCAGCTAAAATGCTTAAGCTTTTTCTTTAAGCTATTAAAGAAATATATATTTTATATTTCTGTTGGCAAAGTATGCTCTTAAAAAAATTTTCGTGAAAAAAAAAATAACAATTAAATTTGGCAACTAATATTTTACGAATACCTATTGTTTTAAAATATACAAAATTGTTTAGACATTAGAACACAATACAACTCTTTCTACATTACTCTAATCGGTTTGCATAAAAGCTGAATCGTTCCAGGTAAATTAAAATGTGATTACCCTCCAAAAATAGTAAAAATTAAAAAACCAATAAAACTTATTTTCTAGACACGTTATTAAGCGTGGACATTTTATATGCATTCAGTGACCAAAATTTGAATGACACTATTTATATATTATTAAGTTTTATTGGAATTGAAACAAAGTCTTAAAAATAAAATGCTGTTTTAAATTATTTTGAATAAATATATCTTAAGCTAATTATCTGTTCCTGTGAACAATTTTAAATATTACACCACTGCACGGCAATGCACTGAGATGTAAGACTGCAGTAACCTAACTTTTAAACTCAAAATAAAATGAATTGTTTAATTTAATTTTCAATATTTAAACTGATTAACTAACTCTTATAAAAATGCATTTGGTAGTCATTTTATTCAAACAAACCTCTGTTACCTTAATCGTTCGGTTTGTTCTCTACAGTGGCGCCGAATCCTATAGGAACAGCGGCCGCTATACATGTTTTGAGTGGGTTCCAGTGGCGTATTTAGTATTTTTTATAGGGGGCGGATGACAAGAATTTTAGCTTACAGATTACGATGTAATACACATGTATTCAAAGAGCCATGGGGGCGGATTTGTCCTCATATCTGCCCCCGTAAATACGCCCCTGGTGGGTGGTGAACAGTTGTGGTACCTATACAATCTTGTATTAATGGCTTGTTTTAATTTTTTTGCTTGAAGATAATAATTGTTTTGGTATTAAGTTTAATATCAATACCTACACGACATTACTTATTAGTTATCCATTTACTTACAAAAACACAAACACATACACCCATAGTAAGTAACAGATTATTTTTTAAAGAAAAGTAGGTACCTACATTGTTACCTACAATTTTAATATATTAAGTTAATTTTGATTAAAAAATATTTGTTATTTATATATTTTGTTTGCAATTAGTAACTTTTATATTGTTTACTTATTGTTATGGTTGTGAAAAAAAGTTTTTGTTGGATTCATAAAAGGGAAAAAATAATAATCGACGGTATATAGGTGTTTGTATAAATTTTAACATTTTGCAATATAACTTTGAATGGACATCGGCGCCACTGGTTTTCCATATTAAATTTGTATATTACATGGTTATAAATATATAATTATTAATTTATATTTAATATTTTTCCAGAATCCCTTGGCAACGGAGCCTTGATTTTCTTCGTAATACCCGTGTCTGTTATGCTGAGCGCCAATTTAATTTTGTTTTCGCTAACTGCTATTCATTGTTCAAAAATTAAATCAGAACTTAACAAATTCAAACGAACCGATGATTCAAAAAATCAAAAATTTCTTGTTGACAAAGAGAAGTAAGTATAAGTATACAGTAGGTTCCTAACCGTACTATTAATTACTACCCATTCACATAAGGCACATTAGGTATAGATAGTACCCATATGGCCATATGGTCTGTTAACTACTTTTGATAATTTGGTACCTACATATTCATTATTTAAACTCCTTCACTATAAATATAGTTAAAATTGAGGCGTACATCGAGTAGTAATTAATTTGTTAAATTTATTTATTGTAGTTTGTACCTAATATGTATCTATAATAAACTAGTTGGCTTTATAATTTATTTGCAGTATGCGCTCAACTGTGTCATTTAATACTTAATGTAGGAACACTTAAATTAATTGACAATACTGTAAACATTAATCTCTGTGAGTTAAGTCAAAATATAGGTGATAAGCGTCTAAAAATATGAAGATAATGAAAAATCTATATTTTTAACTTGAACTATAGTACAAAATATTATATGGGTACTATGTTATTACTCATTAATCTAAAAGTTTGATAAATTTAAAGTTAGTAATTTCCCTCTTCTCCACTAGTTAATATAAGTCTTATAAAGAAATTTTGATTTATATTGGTCAAAAATTGTATAAAATATTTTCATTTGACTAAAAATAACTTTTAATTTATTGTTTTTTGACAGATTTGTAATGAGCATTAAGCTATTTCTGGTTATGGGAATCCCATGGTCATTTGAGATAATATCTAAATTCTTCAAAAATCAATGGACCATATTATGGGTTATTTTAGATGAAATTAACGCACTACAAGGAGTGATGATATTTATTATATTTGTGGCCAAGAGCAAAGTTATTATGAATTTACGAAAAAGGCTTAGAGGTTCAACGTATCACAGTGAGTCGACAAAAATGACCACTACCTCTGGGTACTCACACAGCGGCAGTGCTAATAAAAGTTATAATGATTTCTAAATTCAATATAATATGTAATATTATATTGAATTTAGAATAATAATATAATATGTAGTAATAAGACTAGGCCTTAGGGCATAAAAAAAGTTATTATTTTTCTGCCTTTAAGTATTACGTTTTTGTTTTTTGTGATTATTATATAAATAAAATAATATTCAATAATTCAAAAATACGATTTATCCAATTTTATATTAGATATATTATATTTTACTCAAATAATTTATCTTTGGTCTACATACATAGTATATATTTATAAAAAAAAAATGGATAAATAATATCTAATAAAAAACAAAAACAATTTTTAATTGTTTAATTAATCTATTTCTTGAATTTTAATGTTCACTTTTATTCATTTCCAATAAACTACAAAAAATATTTTGTAAAGAAAATATAAGCATCAAGCTTTGTGCTACTTGTAATTACATAATTCAATAAGTATATATAGTAAGTATAAATACACAGATTTATACCATAATAATTTAATCTAGGAATTATATTATATTAAATACCTTTTATATACACCCGTTTGGCGTTTACTATTAGCATGCATAATTATTGATGAGCTGTTTACTTTTTATTATTTTACACAAATACATTTTGAACCACAATAATATTGTTACATTTATTATTATTTTGCATCTGTTGTAAAAATAACATTGCGAATATTACATATGGTGTTAATTCATTACCTATTCAGCTCAACCGTCGTTTTAAGATTTATGACATAATAAAAATGAGAAAAGATTAACCATAATATCCTTTTAAAAAATGCATTTGAAAACGTAATAATACAGAGTCATATGAACATTTTATTTTAAGAATATGTTGAGTTTAAATTATAAATATTTTAATGTCTATAGAGCACGAATTGTTGGAACAGCAATATATTACTTAATATATTGTATTTTACATTAATAATTGTATAAAGATTTAGCAAAACCAATTTACAGTGGATTCCATAATCGTTGCAAATACAATTTAAACAATATAATTTATAAAGTTGCATACAGGTATATTTCAGAAATAAAAATGTTTTATACATATATTACCTATGCATGATATACCTACACAATAGACACCTATAATGTTTATAATATGGTATTATATTTATATAGGTACATTTCGGTGTAACTGGTTACGTATCAAAATATTAACATGGATCATTGTAGACACGTATCTACATTTTTATACACAGTACCTACCTATTAACGAACTATAATAAATTAATAACTATTACCTCATTGATTACAAATACTAGTATTTACTCGTATTTATAATCGATGCTTTTAATTAAAAGGCGAAACAAAAAATTATAATTGTTTGTAATTGTTTGGCTTCTATTGATGATAGCGAGTAGACATAAGTGTACAAAACGTGCTAACGTCAATTAATTAAACAGACTCATCAGATCGAAAACCAGTTAAAACTTTAGGTATAATGAATAATTACATATCTGAAGAATAGTTATCATTTACCTTATTATCTACTCTACGAATGAATATTATTAAATTATTTACGATGTACCTACCTATCGCCCGTGGGCTAAAGCTATACGCATCTACTGACCGTCTGAGTCATAACGCGGTAGTGGTTGTTACCGCACGCCTCCAAGCGAAATGCTATTACACGATGATAAAATAAAATACAATAAATAAATGTTTGAAATATGGAAGTATTATATTTACATTATTACGGTATTAATATTTATGGGACTTATAACATCAAGCTTAAGTGTTCATTTCTAATGTTATATTTACAGTGGCGTAGCCAGGGGGGCTAAGGGGGATTAGCCCCCCGCCCCATTGACTGTGTTGACCTTAGAATTTTATCCAGATTAATAAAAAAATTAAAAAATGTAAGTAAAAGACATATTGTATTTGTATACTTACAATCTCCCCCCCCATACAAAATTCCCAACTGTCTATCTCGATATTTTTTAACTATTGTCGATTCCAAATTGTTCGGTCAGTCAAAAAACTAGGAAATGTAATAAAACGTTAATCATAAGTAGATGTTGGTGGAAGTAAAAAAAAATTTGAGTGTAATAAATACACAATAATATTTTATTAGCGTCTGAAGTTGACATTTGGACATAATTCATAAAAATCACGAAAATTGGCTGATTATTTGGAGTTAGAAATTCATGAAAAATGTTCTATTTATATCTAAGCTTTGAAAATGTAATTAAAGATTCCACTTCAGTTTTTCTATATTCAACAAAAAAAATAAGTTTACCGGAAAGTCAAATTTATTTTTTACGAGCTGTTGAAGCTAGACATTGAATATAATCACCCGTAAATTAACAAATTCTCATACAACGATTTCCTTATTTTGTCGTTATTCAATAACTAATAACCGTAAGTAGGTACTAGAAACGATCATAAAATGTTTAATTTATCATTTCTATACATGATATTTTCAAAAAATTTCAACTCGTTTTGAATTATTTATAGATATTTTAAATTTTAAATTTTATTAGTTTTTAATCTATAAATGTGAATAATATTTTATTTATTTGGTCAAAAAGATTGAATATGTAATACAAGGATCTTTATAAGTTGATATAATAGCAGTTGTTAAATATTAATGATCCATTTGCACTATTGTTTTACATGTATTTAAAGTTCATATTTTGAAAAAATGTATCCAAATCTTGAAAATTATGAATTATTGTAACTAAAGAATTATAAAATGTTCAATTTTTAAACCTGAGGATAGAAAATGTAAAACAAAAATTCTCATAAACAGTTTATACTGTAACCAAAAAATCTAAAAAATATTTAAACTCAGTTTTTTTTTTTTACAGACATTTTAAATTCATATTTGAACGAAATTATATTATATTAAAATCAAAAATAACGATTTTAGTTATTTTGCTTGTCGGGTGGTACTACTGAGTACCTTCCCACTTTGTTATATTCACCGCTGTTTCACTCAACAAAATTATTTACTGAACAAAATTATGTATAGCTTGTAATTATTCTTTTAATAAAAAAAGTTATTTTTCTGTAATTTTAAAATATTATTCGTGGATATATATGAAACTTTTAGAGTATGTTATTATATTTTATACACACAATGCCATTTTCAAATGTAATTTTTTTGGCCAAAATTAATTTAACTTACTGTTCTAATAAATACTAATGCCTATAATAGTAAAAGAAATTACTCTAATCACAATAATATTATCATCAAATATACTTATTAATATTATAGACTGGCAAACCATCTTCGCTTAAATCGTTTTTCCTATGCAATGATTTCATATTATTGGATTCAAATTTAACACCATTCATTACAATGATCTACTTGTAAGCTGTAACCTAATGTATAGCAGAGCTACTTCCACTTAGCCGCTTTTATGTCTGTCTTTCATGAACGTTTTGGGTATAGAAAAATGCTCAGATTTTCTACATTTGATAGAAAAGTGAATCTAGTTGGTGTATTAGAGATGTCAAAATTGAAAATTCCCAGTAGTTTTAAAAAGTGTTGGGGAAAATAAAAATAAAATCAGAAAAATGGGAATTTTTACTCAAAATCGGGTTTTTCTTATTTTTTTTGCTGTAATTTTCAATGGTTATTAAAATAAACATTTTCAAAATATTTTGACTCTTTTTGCATCTATTTATGGCCATGAGAAATTTCCCGAATTTTTTAGCTTTTTTTTTTCGATTATTCTTGTTAAATAATTTTTTTCTCTAACAAATAATATGAAAATGTAACAGAAGGCTCCAATTAAGTTGTTAATAAAGTAGTTTCAAATAAAAGTTTATCGTAAATCTACAATAAATTTTTATGATTGCATGAAGTTAGATTTAACTAAATTCATCAAAATCTGGAAATGTTGAAAATTCTATTTCAGTTCAAAATTCATAGAAACATTTTTTTCATAGCTAACATTTGAAAATTTAATAGAATATTCTTTAAAAGTGTTTCTATCTTAAACAAAAAAAAAGTTAGGTATTTATATATTTTAGCCATGAAATAATTTCTATTTTTATTAGTTTTTGATTTTATATTATTAAATTTGATTAGGTATTTATTTGAGTATGCTTGGCTGACACACAGTTACCACACAGAATCGTTTTTCGTACACTATATTTTATCATTGAATTAAAAATCAGCACATCCATTACAAAAACATGATCGACAACTATCTACTGTACTGTGGTAGGTACTCACTCACTTGTCCAAATTTTTACAAATATAGGTATTTATAAAAAAATTAACTCTTTGGCACGAACAACGCCGGCAGGACAGCTACTTTATTAGATATTAATATAAATATTAGGTATAATATAAGCAATTGCAATAGTGAATAGGGTAAATGCAAAATAACAAATTGCTAAAAAGTAAAATATATAAAAACCTCAAATAATGAATATTAATATATTATATCCACCCAATAGCCTAAGTTACCACGGGTTAGTAAAAAAAATAAATAAATAAATAAAATGTATTCAATAATCAATACACATAATATAGCATGCTGCAGGTATGAAATAGTGATAGTTTTAGTAGTTTAAGATAAGCTAGTAAAAATTAAAAGAATGATCATTCATCACATGTTTGATAAGTGTGACTGTTTTACTGCTACGATGGATTGTAAAAGTTAAAAATAACTAAGTGAAACTACCATAATTATAAGTGCTAACTGTGGTGCAATATCAATTACTGATGTTGTTCTATTACCGAATTCAGAAATCACTTTTAATGTTATTCGACGCAATAAAACGATAGCAAAATTACTTGCAATCTTGTATTTTAGGCATCCATATAAAAAAAAGGACCCTCGTAGTATGAATGCCTACAACTGTTCTACAATCTATACAGGACAGAAGGATAGTGGCCCACTGTGGCACTACTCTTACAGTATAATATAAATATATATTATATGGCATAACCACTTCGATATTTTCATTAAAAGTTGTCGAAGTGACTACCACATAATATATACGTCAATACGTGTATTACTGCGATATACCTTAAGTAAATCAAAA